ACTTGAATGAGCTCGTAGTGTTCTGAGCATATGTGCCCTGATCCTGCGTTCTCATTCTCTTTTCTTTCGGTCTGACTGAGGGGCTTGGCGTAGTACGCTCTGATGGAAGGCGTTTTATTGCCTTCCTCGTAGCCCCCTCCCCCCTTCCCTCATCGACCTTCGCTGCTGCATCCGTCAAGGTTGCAATCGCCCCCGAGGTTTGATGCAGCTTCGCTCTCTTGCGACGTCTTCTCTCGGCTCCACTCAGTCTGACCCGATTCACATCGGTACCAGACTGGTCAGCCTTGTCAGACTTCGTGTGTTCGCCATCGCTGGCCCCACCCGAAGTTGCTTTTTCAATATTAAGATTTTTTAAATTGGTTTCCATTTTAGTCCCACGAGTACCGCGGTTAAGCGTTTTCACCTGGTGTATTGTCGCGATTGCCCAGGGCTTGGCTTGTCTTGGGTGGGTTACACCCGAGACTACTCTCAGAGGTCGCCCAGGTTTCTGAGAGGCACCGTTAGCGACACAGCTCCCCCTGTGCCACGCATCCTTAGGCACGGTATGGCCGAGGGCATGGCTTACGCCGCTCACACACATGGATTGGGTGGACTCCTCTTAGCGACCGCGGGCAGCACTAGTCCTTAAGACCTCCACCGCCCGCGACCGAGCCCCCTCACTACGACAAAGTGGGAACCCAGTAGAGGGGGTTCAATTAAATAAAATTACTGTGTTATAAATATGTTACTACTCTGACCCGTCATAACAACTGGCGACCGTGACAGGACATCCTTCGGATACCGGGGTCAGAGTAATGGATAAAGCAAAAAAAACACGTGCTGTGTTACGAACGGCGTTTACACGTACGTACAATCACCTCCTAACCCAACTGCAAGCTGAACAGCCAGATAAAGAACAAGTCAACGCACTGTTCATGCTTTTGAAAGAGAAGACCAGTGAGTTGGAGGACGGTGACCAGAGGTTCATCAACTTGTTGTACGAGGAAAATGTGTCAGAAGAGTTACTGGGCAATGAGATTGAGTCCCAAGATGAGTACAAGCTGAAATATCATCACGTAAAGCTCAGAGTTTCAGCACTCTTGGAACCCCCAGCAGAGTCGACATCTCAACAGGGCCCTCAATCACATAACCTCTCCTCGACGAATCACTCGGTACTGGACAACAAACGCATCAAGCTACCCAAGATTGACCCTCCCAAATTTAGTGGACAGCTGAAACACTGGCTTTTGTTCTGGGGTCTATTTAGGCCCATTCACGAAGACGTTACGATTACCAAAGAACAAAAGTTTCGCTACCTTGCACAGGCAATGGAGGAAGGCTCTGGTGCAGCTGATCTCGTCACCAGTTTCCCCCCTACAGCAGAGAACTACGACAAGGCTGTAGAGGATTTGACAAACCGTTACGGTAAGAAAGAATTGCTCATAGAAATGTATGTTAGAGAGTTGTTGTTGCTAGTGCTCCACAAAGCAGTCCCTGGTTCCCATCAAAGCAAACTCTCGAGTACATACGATAAATTGAAGACGCATCTGAGAGCGCTAGAGTCCTTGGGAGTCACGACAGATATGTGTGCAGCAATGCTGTACCCACTGGTGGAATCATCTCTCCCAGAGGAGCTGCTCAGAGCCTGGCAAAGGCACTCAACGACTCTAGACATTCCAGACACCAAAGCCAGACTCGACAAATTTATGGATTTTTTGGAGGCTGAGGTAGAAGCGGAACAGAGGATTTCCATGGCCATCGAGGGTTTCGGTTTGAATGCTGGATCCAAGAAAGAAGCAAACGACAATAGAGACAAACCAAAAAAGAAGACGAAAGATGAATCGAAGCCAGTGGCCACCGCAGCCAGTCTACTGGCAACAAAAAGTACTTCGGCCCCAGTCAACTGTCTTTTTTGTGACGAAACCCATGCCAGTGAAACTTGTGCAAAGGCGAAGAAGATGAGTCTTGTAGAGAGGACTGCGAAATTAAAAGAGAAGAACGCCTGTTTCAAGTGTCTGAAGGTTGGACACAGTTGTAGAACTTGTCGCTACAAAGACAAGTGTGGATGGTGCGGAAATAAACATGTTTTATTGATGTGTCGTCAGATGTCCACTCTTTCTTCAGGAGAAAGTAACACGAAGCCTGCCGTGACGGAGCAGAGTCTCGCCAATTGTCAGCAGACCCAAGTGTTTTTCTGCAAACGCTCGTCGTAAAGGTCGTAATCGGGGATCGCCAGCGGACGGTGAGAGCAATGATTGATACTGGCTCCCATCGATCTTACATCCTGGAGCAAGTTGCAGAGTCTCAGGCGGAGCCATCTCGTACTATGGTGCATTCTCTATTTGGAGGTTCCCAGACTCGCCCTCAAGAGCACAAGGGCTACAGAGTACACGTACGTAGTCTGGATCACAAATACGCCTGTAATTTCCTTGCTTACGAACAGGGCAGCATCTGTCAGGCTATTCCCAGGATCGCGGAAGGTCCTTGGCTGGACAAATTGGAGAAACAGTCCACTCACCTGACTGACATCGGACAAGGACACCAGCCCATATCACTCTTGATAGGGGCTGACATTGTGGGAAAACTCTACACGGGACATCTGCAGGACCTCGACGAGGGCATCATTGCTGTGGAAACACGTTTAGGCTGGACCATCTTGGGGAAAACTACACAAGCGACAACAAAAAGAACGGACACCGCGTTGTTGACGTTCTCGATGTTCGCCCAAGAAGCGACTGTCAGCCGGCTCTGGGATTTGGACGTGTTGGGCATCACTGATCCTGTTCAGAGAGTTTCCAAGGAAGCTCACCAACAACAAGTCTTGGAAAAATTTCATGACACGACGAGAGTGAACTCTGAAGGCCGCTACGAGGTCTTGCTTCCTTGGAAAGAAAATTACCCAACGCTTCCAGACAATCGTTTTCTAGCACAGAAAAGACTAGAGGCGACGTACGCGAATCTAGAGAAAAGAAATCTGGTGAAAGAATACGAGGACGTGTTTCAGGGATGGCTACAGGAAGGCATCATCGAAAGAGTTCCACAAGCTGAGGTCGAAAACAAGGGTCACTATCTGCCTCGCAGGTCTGTCATAAAAGAGAACAGCACGACCAGAATCCGACCTGTCTTTGACGCTTCGGCGAGAACTAAGTCCGATCCGTCGCTTAATGAATGCTTAGAGACAGGGCCCAACTTGATTGAGCTAATCCCCTCACTTCTCTTGCGGTTCCGAGAACAGAGAATTGGGGTCATCTCAGACATCCAAAAGGCCTTTTTGCAGATCAGCGTGAATCCAGAGGACAGGGACACTCTAAGATTCCTGTGGAAGCCGACTTCAAACCCACAACAGACCCATACTTACCGTCATCGAAGAGTCGTGTTTGGAGTCTCCAGTAGTCCTTTCTTACTGGGGGCAACGATTGATCTTCACCTAAACCAGGCGATAGAGAAAAGCACTACCGAGCATCGGACTACAGTTCTCCAAAAGCTGAGAAAGTCGTTTTATGTGGACAACTGTGTCACAAGTGTACATTCTCTGGAGGAATTTCTCGAGTTTAAGAACATGGCTATCAAGACACTGCAAGCTGGAGGTTTCAATCTCAGAGGTTGGGAATGTACACATTCAGAAGAAGCGGTCAGGGAGAGCTCTGTCCTGGGTCTCACGTGGAATCGCCACGAGGATACGTTGGCATTGGCTAAACCAGTGGACCAGGTGAAGAAACCTGCTGCGGTCACCAAGAGGGAGATTCTCTCTGCCACTCAGAGCCTTTTCGATCCATTAGGCATGGTCTGTCCTGTCCTCATTTGCCCCAAGGTGCTGATCCAGAAACTCTGGTCCAAAGATCTAGACTGGGACTCTAGTGTCGACCAAGAGACGAGAAGCGTGTTTAACCACTGGCTCGACGAACTCTCCTGGCTCGGGGAATTAAAAATTCCACGTTGGTCTTTTGGAGGAGGTCCTAGTGTGGCTTCTGTCTCTTTGCACGCCTTTGTCGATGCCAGTCAGGAAGCCTACGCTTCGGTTATTTTCGCAAGAGTTGAAGTAGAAGACAACGTGGAGTGTCACTTCATTATGGCGAAGTCCAGAGTGGCACCCAAAGTCAAGCCGACTATTCCTCGCTTGGAGTTGTTAGCGGCAACGGTGGGAGCTCGACTGATGGAATCGGTGGTCACCGCGTTGGGTTACGAAGGGCTTGAGCAGCACTTCTGGACTGATTCATCGACGTGCTGGCCTGGATTCAGAGGGAGAGAGAGTGGGGTGTCTTTGTATGGAATCGTGTCCAAGAAATCCGGCGATTATTGAACCCACAGTCTTGGCACCATGTCCCCGGAGCTCTCAATCCAGCAGATTTACCCTCCAGAGGCTGCACGGCCAGACAGCTGGTCGATTCCAAGTGGCATGAGGGTCCCGCCTGGTTGAAACTCCCTCCAGACCGCTGGCCGAGATCTGCGATGGAAGTGAACGAGAAGGAGGTTGATGGAGAGATCAGGAAAACCACGTCGAAGAGAAAGATTCCCGAGAGAGGCAGCGTCTCCTGTGCAGCAGTACATCACGTATTAAGTTGTGTAGAGAGCTTGACTAGCACTAAAGAGGTGCCTTGGTACATGTCCAGGCTCTCTCGGTACACACAGATCGTCCGTCGCATGGCCTGGATACAACGTTTCGTCGGTAACTGTAGAAATCGTCGAAGAATTTGCATCAGTGGGCCACTTTCCCTGGAAGAGGTAAGAAAAGCCGAACTAACGCTTTTTAAATTGGTACAGGAGGAGAGTTTTGCGGGTGTAGGCGATCCACGTCTCGTAGGAATGACAATCTTCATGGACTCTGATGGACTCATACGTCTGAAGTCTTTGATTTCCAATAGGAGCGATGAGTTGGGTTTTCGTCTCCCGATTGTCCTGGATTACAGACATCCTCTTGTACAGAAGCTTATTTATCTCCAGCATCTTGTTCTAAATCATGGCCCAATCGACTACATCATGAACAAGCTTCGAGAAGAGTACCGGGTGCTCTGCTGCAGAAGGGCAGTACAATCCATCGTTCGTCGCTGTATCGTGTGCAAACGTCACACTGTCAAACGACTAGAAGCTGTGCCTGCTCCCTTGCCGGAAGCGAGGGTGAGAGATGCTGTGGCGTTTGAGGTGATTGGGGTTGATCTAGCTGGACCCTTGTATCTCAGGAATGGTGATAAGGGCTGGGTAGTTCTCTTCACGTGTGCTGTTTTCCGAGCCGTACACCTGGAACTGGTCACGTCACTATCCACCGATGCATTCTTGGAGTCGCTAAGACGTTTTATTGCTCGCAAGGGACGCCCAGCTATCATTTACTGCGATAATGGCACCAACTTCGTGGGGGCGCACAATCTACTGCGAGGACTAGACTGGGCAAAGGTCGTCGCCCGCGGAGTGTTGGAGAGGATCGAGTGGCGCTTTAATCCACCCTCGGCTCCCTGGTGGGGAGGATGGTGGGAGCGCCTGGTACGAGTGACCAAAGATCTCCTGAAGAGGACCCTGAAGAAAACATCCCTGACGTATGAAGAACTCCAGACGACATTGTGCGATTGTGAAGCTGTGATTAATTCTCGTCCATTAACGTATTTGGCCGAGGACCCAGAGCAACTGATCCCACTTTCCCCAGACATGTTCCTGAGGGATCTCCGTTTACACGGAGTCGCCGACCTGGATCAGGTCGATGCCCAGGCCCTGACAAGACGCCTACGATATCGACAAAGACTCAAGGATGAACTTCGCGAACGCTTCCGTGTTGAGTATCTCGGGCAGCTAGCTCGAAGGAGTTTCGAGAAGGGATTGAACGGCAGCCTCAAAGAGGGGGACCTGGTGTTCGTCGGTTCTGACAACACAAAACGTCTGGATTGGCCTCTGGCTAGAGTGATTGAGGTTTTTCCGGGAAAAGACGGTGTTGTCAGGGTGGTTCGAGTGAAAACGGCGATTCAGACCCTGACAAGGCCTATCCAAAGGTTGTTCCCACTCGAGTTGTCCTCTTCCGAGGCCTCTGAATTGACTGGCGAAACCAGCACTTCAGGGTGTGAGCCTGAGCAGCTATCTACAGTGGAGAATACTCCTATGACTGCTCCATGGAAGACGGTCACGCGTAAGCATACTATAAAGAAGAACATACCCAGAGCCAACGTTGGTCTTGAACGAGAAAAACCCAGCAGCCCCATCGTTACCAGGGGTGGGCGGGTGGTTAGAGCCCCAAGGAAATTACAAGACTAGAGTCTACTGACGACTAAACCCTGAATCGTTTTTCATTGATTATATTTTATATGTATTGAGTTGAAAAATTCTTGTTACAGAAATATCGATATTCAACTCAAGGTGAGAGTAGATGTTAGAAAGAGAATAATTTCAAATCTATGGGGAATTGAATGCCATGAGAGTGCTAGGGAATAATCCTTTTCCCTATATTTGAGAACCCCGTTTTATTGTTAGTAAAAATAATGGCTACCACGCCTATATCAACCGTTTTTCGTATAATATAATAGTCACATTTTCAATNTGTAATGATTTTTCTTTGGCCTCAACAAATACTCAATAAACCCTAACCCAGAAGTCTCGATTATCCAAACACGGCCAACTCATTACCTTCGTTCTCGTAATCCGACAAGTCTGAAACGCCAAAAACCCTAACGCTAAAACTGGACTCCGGGAACAATCAGCAGCTTATCCAATCCTTACTTCGAGTATTTAGGGCGCCAGCCGAATTTTAGCAACGCGGAATCGACCAACCGCAAACGGAACCGTATTTTCTTAAAACTAAATACTGATTGTCCCCAAAAATCCAATAACGACAAGAAACGTATCGCAAACCATACGCAGAAATGTGGATTACGAGGGTACGGGATTTACTCGGCTGCTCAGTGTGCGGGTCGTGGAGAGAGGGGTGGATTCGTGGACGAGAACATCAATTAACAAAACCAATCATCGATCGAGAAACCAATAAACCAATGTCTTAAATTCCAAACGGGATAGGTAAGGTCGACATTGAATAATAAACACAATTGTACTGACGTGTTTCGCTATTGCCGATATTAATACAAAATCGTAAATTCGTACAAACACAAAATTACATGAATGTGACTCAAAATAATTTTAAATACTCTGAAATGATCCATTAAACTCCAAAAGGACTCGAAAGATGCGAATAATAATTTTAAGTATGAAAAAGAAAGCGATCCCAATCCAAAGCTGATAGAGAGAAGCAAAGGTATTGTCCACGAGGGGAACACGAATCCGAGAGAGAGAGAGACTATAGGAAGGTAGCGTACGTGCGAGAGAGAGAACGGATGAGGTAACTACGCGAAATAAAAAAAAAAGGAGAGCTCACGAAAAGGTACTAATTTTTCTTATTTTCGACTGTAATTAATCGAATTTCGAATTCTGGAGCGCCTTTGTAATGGTTTACTTAATCTTTATGCCATTTGTAACCCATTAAAATCGGGAATCTCATTCACCGAAAAGGTAGCAAAAATGAGCTAGGGAGCTTGAATCAGCCACGTGGCTGATTTACCGGAAAGGAGCGTTTCTAACCCGGAAATGGAGGTTTTCTCCATGAAAATAGGTAGCTTACGGTCTCCAATAATTTCCAAAATAATAGGTAGCTTATTCATGAACGTAAGAGAGCTTAGATAATTTTATTGTTCTGGATTCCAACCATAAATTAAAGATAACTAAAAAGATAGCGTCCCCATGCCCAACCGGAATCCCAAAACTCAACGAACGTTAGAGAGCATTAAAACGCGAAAAAGGTAGCTTCAGAACAATTCAGGTAGCATCATTTTTCCTCCAGAACTCTCGTGAGTCGGAGAAATATAAAGAAATAGGTAGCGTAGAATAATTACGTAAAGAGAGCGAAAAAAGGTAGCAAGCAAAAAGGTAGCAATGAAGTAGGTAGCGAGTTGCATCAATCGCCGTAGCGAGACGCCTAAAGCATGAAATTTAGCCTAAAAGTTACGGTAGGTAGCACTATTACTATTCGGATTTATTCAGGTAGCGTAATTATCATTTAAATAATCTCAGGTAGCTTCCAGGGAGCATTTAGGTTTGTTTGAAGAGTTTTCTGTCCTTCAAACCATGAGTATCGGTGTTGGCGTCATTCCGAGAGGTAGCGACGCCATTCCGCGTGGTCCAACTGCTTTACCGAAAAACGCACTAATTCACTGTTAATCACCTCTAAATAAGTACAGGAGTACTTACCATGGTCTGGAGCATTGATTTCGACTGAATTTTGATCATGGGGCCTCGATAATTATCTCGAAAGAGAACTTGTTCAGGAAGTTAAATCGACTCGTACCTCACTCTTAGTCGTCCGGGTGGATATTCTCATGGCGACTATCGCGTGTGTCCGCTCGGGCCTGTTGCATAGTGGTGGGGAGTCTGGGGGAGACTAGCCCCGTACGGTGCTGACTTGAGTGCCGGAGACGCGAACTATCGATTCCCGGGGTGATCGAGCGCGAAATATTTCAAGTTTTTAAATTTGAATTTTCATATAATTGATTCTAATTATTTTAACCGAGCAAACTGTAATGACTTGAACTTAACGCGAAACTGAGATGGCTGAGCGGGACTTCACTCCATCTACGACCGGAATAAGGTAGCTTATCTACAGAGGGCACTCTCCGGAGAGGAATGAGGGCTTTACCAACGAAAACTCAAACGCAAACGCAACTTAACTAAATTAAAAACCCAATGGCGAGCCGTTTCGACGACTTGGTGATCGTCTCCACGGCCTTTCAACTGAAAGCCCTAATACTCTCGCTCAAGGGAGCGCAAGCATTTCAACTCGACCTATGTACTCACTCTATCGACAAACCAAAAAGGGTTACAGGAAACACTGGGTAGCACATTATCTTGGCCAAATATTCCACGGTGATATCCTAATCCTTAACCGAATTTACGTAGGAAAATCTCAAAAATACTAAACTCTCATTCAACAAAACTGACTCGAAAAAAAGAAATATCTGCAAAATATCTGGTTTCTTTAATGACCTTGTTTAATGAATATTGTTCTAAAAATTTAGGGAATCGATTCACGCGATAGGTAACCAATTTAAGTAGTTCTCCAAACTTAAGGTAGCTCTGAAGTAGAGTTAAGGTAGCAGGTAGCTCTAATTCTCCTTATAGGTTTTTATCGCGACAAAAAGGTAACGGTTTATAAATTTTTACTCTCTCTCTCTCTCTCTCTCTCTCTCTCTCTCTCTCTCTCTCTTTCTATACATAAATACCCTGGAGTTCCGCAAGTGACGAATTCGCCTGGAATTTCGTCACAACTGATATTTCATTTGGTCCATTTAGTTCGATCATTAGAATTTCGATTTCATTAGTATATTGATGAAGTTGTCAACAGAGTGAAGTGGTTTTCATGGAATTCAACTGAAGTTGGTGCCTTCAAGAAGCATTCAAGGTTAATTGTGAAATCGAAGATGATCACTTATTCATTGGATTATGTTCTGAATCAGACGGGTAATTGATTGATCAACAGCATAGGTTGATATTGAAGAGATTGACGAGATTTTGATCCATAATAAAGGCCTGGAAACGGTTTGTTATATCATATTCATCATATTTGAAACAGGCTGTGGTAAGTAGAATTTCATCCGATAGCACTTTGAAGGGCATTTTATGACCTTCAAAACGATCTGTGATAAATGTCATTTGCTCACATTTTCATCGAGTTATTGCAGATTGTTTCCATTTTTTCCGTTACGTCACACCTCAAAAATGACAGTTTTTACTATTTATAGAGGCCTTTGACTTAACCAACGGGGATTTATCCTATGTCACTTTGAAGGTTTCATCGAGATTTTTAATTTCGTATACTATATTATCTACCCCATCACCTGGGTTAATTGCTGTAAGCGATAATGTAGCGATTTTAGCATGTCACGTTTTAAAAATCTCCATGTTTTTCCTTGGAATGGCCAAATTCACTCGGTTTGAGTTGGAATTTATGAAGATATTTCATAATTATGTGAAAATATATTGAATTACTCAGGAATTCACTCGTGATTTACTCAATTATCTTCATTTTTCATTAACTTATGAGGATTTTTAGGCAAAAAATTGAATTTTTATGGTTGACCCTAAAAATTGAGTTTGGTTGTGGTTTTCGGTACTTCCAAGCGGACTAGACGCGAATATTCATCCACTACTTTGAAGCGCATTTTATGTTCTTCAAAATGATGTATCATTTAATCCAATTTTCATTGAGTTATTGCAGATTATTTCCATTTTTTCCGTTATGTCACACCTCCAAAATAACAGTTTTTACTATTTATCGAATCCTTAAACTTAACCAACGGGGATTTATCATATGTCAATTTGAAGGTCTCATGGAGATCTTCAAATTGATATCCTATATTATCTGCCTCATCACCTAAATCAATTGTTATAAGCGATAATGTAGCGATTTTACCATGTCACACTCTGAAAATTCCGTGTTTTTCCTCCTAAATAGCAAGATTTGCTTGGTTTCTATTGGAATATGTGAAGATATCCCATACCTAGGTGAAAATATATCAAATCGCCTACGAATTGACCGCTGAATTATTCAATTATCTTCAATGTTCATTAACTTATGAAAGGTTTTATCCAGAAAATGAAATTTTACGATTTTACTGTAAATTCAGCCTGGATCGGTTTTTTCTGCAACTATCGGTCGAACCAGTTATATAATTCATATAACATCTCAAATAATATTTATCCTTCTTCGAAATGATGCATGACAATCCTGATCCAATGGAATTCATATCCATTATTGCAGATTGTTTCCATTCTTTACGTTATGTCACACGTAAAAAATTACAGTTTTTACCGTTTATCTAGGGTTCAGATTGGACTAGAGAGGATACGTCACATGTCAACTTGAAGGTCTCATCGAGATCTTCATATTGATAGTTTATAGTATCCATTCGATTCACTAGATGAAATGTTATAGACGATGATGTAAAGATTTTAGCATGTCACGTTTTGAAAAGTGCCAATTTCTTCCTCTTAATGATGAGACTTTCTTGGTTTCTGTCCGAATCTATGGAGATATTTCATACTAAGCTGCAAATACATTGAATTACTCCACCATTGGTTCCTGATTCATTCATTTATCTGCAATTTCTATTCATTTATAAAAGATCCGATTCAGATAATAAATTTCCATGATTTTATCGTAAAGTCAGTTTGGATTGGATTTTCTGAAGAAGAATGAAACTCATCATATACCA